AGAACCGGGGGGGGGGGGGGGGGGGCAGGAAAGTGGGAGAGAAAAGCTCCCACCTTCACCCGCTTTCTCAGCGGTTCTTGTTCTGCCCTTATCTGGGCTCGTGTGTGTAGTTACACAAGGGACAGCATGCATGTGTAGGTGTCTAAACACACACACCCAAAAGAGGGGAGAGAGATAAGTGACACAAAATCAGGGACAAAGACAGATTCAGGCTTCAGGAAAAAGCATCCCAGAGCCAGGGCGACACACATTGGAAGGAACAGTTTGAAGGAGTGCAGAGTGTGGGGGTGCATTCTGACCTTAGAGACACGGGCAAAGGGGTGATGAGCCTGAGGCCCAAGGCAGAAGGGCAGAGCGGAGGCGCAGAAGGGCCTGGGCCAGGCACCTGCAGCTCTGCCTTGCTTCCCTCCCCGTCCCCTCCCTGAAGAGAACCTGGGAGCCTGCGGCTTCCACTGTCTCTCTGCTTCCAGGGCTCCTGGCACCCCCTGTGGGCTAGTCAATAAGGGGTGGTCCCTTCCCACTCCACCAGGTACTGAACCTTGCCCTCGGGCGTGACCCTCCGAGCCAGCACCTGGTACTTCTCCCCACAGGCCAACCGCCCAGCCGCACCAAAGTAGTTAGTGATGGATGACTTGAGGTGGGACAGGGATGAGTCGTCCTCACTGATGCTCTCAAATGTGTGGCTGTCAATGCTTTCGTCTGCTCTCTCGGGGCCCGAAGCACCCTCGGCCCCGCTGTCAGAGGGGCAGCGTCCACTCGGCTCGGCTGCCCGCCGCTTTGCCCGCAGTGGCGTGTAGGCCGTGGCTGCCAGCTTCCTCTTCCGGCTGCCCACTGTCCGTCTGTGGGTGGGGGGAGCAGAAGAGGGGATTGAGGGGGAATCCTCACAGCCACCTCCTGAGCACTCCCCTGGGCACAGACACCCCCCACCCAGGTGTGGATCAGCCCACTGGATCCTCACAACAGCCCCACGGGAGGGAAACAGGCTCCAGGGGAGAAGCCACCAGCCGGGCAGTGACGGAGCCAGGATTCAGACCTCGGTGTGTCCAGCTCTCTCTATATTTTTTAAAAAATATATTTTATTGATTTTTTTACAGAGAGGAAGGGAGAGAGATAGTTAGAAACATCGATGAGAGACAAACATCGATCAGCTGCCTCCTGCACACTCCCCACTGGGGATGTGCCCGCAACCAAGGTACATGCCCTTGACTGGAATCGAACCTGGGACCCTTCAGTCCACAGGCCGACGCCCTATCCACTGAGCCAAGCCGGTTAGGGCTCCAGCTCTATATTTAGGAAACAAGCCCTACACAGAGCTGGGGCTCCATCCTCTGTGCCTCCTGACGTCAGGCTGTGCAGAGGCCCCGCTTACACTGCCTTGTCCCTCGTTTGGGCTAGACAAGTCAAATGGGGCCGGATGGCAGTTATGGGTTAGAGTACCCCATATCCAAGAGTCAGACAGACATGTGCACACACATGGGCAGCAAGAGGCAGACTTGGTAGAGAAGTGGGCACACAAGAAGAGGCACACATTCGGACGCTTGGAACAGAAAGAGCCAAAGGGCTAGTGAGAAGAAACAGGAAGAAATAGGTGAGTGGATAGAGCACTGGCCTGCGGACTGAAAGGTCCTGGCTTCGATTCCAGTCAAGGGCACATGCCCAGGTTGCGGGCTCCATCCCCAAAGGAGGACATGCAGGAGGCAGTCGGTCAATGATTCTCTCATCATTGATGTTTCTATCTCTCTCTCCTCTCCCTTCCTCCCTGATTAAAAAAATAATTAAAAAAAAAGTGAAAATACAGAGGCAACAGCAGAAAAAGAAACCCAAAATAAGAGAAAAACTCCCAAGATACATAATTCTACTTTGCAGGAGCTTCTGGGACTCCAAAATAGAGCTAAAGGAGCCCAGAGTTCAGAAGTTCACCCTCCCTACGCCGCTGAGGACGGCTATTGCCAACCGGGCTGGCCCCTCAGCGAGGCCTCTGGGGTTTCTGTCCCCCTCCTAGACCCCACACTCTGCAGAATGTCATTCTCCTCTCCACCAGGCTTCCAAATCCACGGCTCCTTTCCTCAGAGACTGGAACACAGAACTAGGGTCGGGACCTTGCGGTCAGAGGCACAGACATGCAACCTCCTGGCGTGCAGAGGCCAAGAGCCCCAGAGAAAGAACCGCTGGTCAAATGGCCCTGAGCTGGAACCACCCAGAGAGAAATGCCACCCAGCAATCAAAGTGGAGCCACCTGACAGCCCACTCAGCCAGAGGGTCTCAGATCCAGGCTCACGGCTGCAGAAGGCCAGGTCCCTCAGCTGCACAGAATGAGCACATGGCAAGAAGTGGGAGGTGGAGGCAGCGGGCGGGGAAGGCGGAGCCAGAGGTGCTGGCAGCATCCGTGGAGTCCAAGTCTGAGAAGAAGGTCTGGCCTGAGCTGGCACTAAGAGGGAAGAGAGGGTGAGCCTGTCGTAGGCTTTCAGCACTGCCCCCCCGCCCCCCACACCTCTCCAGTCATCTTTGGGCCTCTCTGACCTCCCAGCAGGGGCCCACGTTCCCATTGCTGCCATCACACCTGCAGTCGGATGGCAGTTATAGATTAGCGTACTCCATACCCAAGAGTCTGGATTGAAGTTAGACATGTGCACACACGTGGGCCTCCTCTCTGCCTGTCCATGTCCTCCCCTTCCAGACTTCAAAGTCCAAGGAGTCAAGAAAGCCTTCCCTGGCCACCTCCCCTTTTAGGAGAGCTTCCGCTCCAAAAGGCTTTCTGCACTTTCCAGAGGACGCCTTCGCTGCTGGGGTGTGGAGGTGGCTCCCTCACTGTTACCTCTTTAAACTCTGAATTTCATCCAGCGAAAAGTCAAATATGCTGGCCAGGTGGTGGTTGGTGCTCCAGGCCGAGGTAAAGTCGCTCTGTGGATACAGGAAGGAGCAGGGGCGAGGGGGCACTGAGCCTCAGGCTGCACAGCTGCCTGCCGGTGGAGCCAAGCTTCTGAGGGCTGGACCCTCCCAGGGTAAGACTCGCTTCCTCTTATTCCCAGACCTGCCTGACTAGGGAGCAGGTCACCCAGTCCTGGCTCCATCTCTAGCCAACTGCATGACCTTCCCATGTCTGGGCTCAGTATCTCAGCTGCAAATGTGGACAGTGAGCCCTGGTCTGTTCGCTGAGGTGTGGGAAGACAGCAGAATGGGATGGCGGTGTGAGTGTGAAGAGCGGGAGACGGGAGGCGCTGTAAACACTGCATCCCCAGGGGGGCAGCTGAAGGGGGACGCGAACCCTGGAGCCTGGGTGCAGGCTGGGCTCTGCTGCTCCCTGAGCTGTGACCTCAGGAAAGTCACTGCCCTTCCCTGGCCCCGGTTTCCCCGCCTGGACAGAGGGAACAGGGTATTACCCACCCTTGGCCCCCGCTTCAGGTTCTGGAAAGAACTTGGGGAGATAAAGGACTGGGCTTGCAGAGCCTGGACAATTCCTATACAATTCCCCTAATATGTGCTGATCCTGTGTGAAAGGAGAGAGTAAGAAAATGAGAAACTAACACTGGGAATAGCATCTTCCAGCAAAAACTTTGATCTTTTTCTTCTATAAACTCGCCTTTTCTGCTGCTGGAATTCGTGAGGCAACAAACTGTGGAGACAGAAAAGGGAGAGGGTGGCCACTTTAGACCCTGAAGGCCCCTGAGGTTGCCAGAGGGAGGAGTGGCAGGGGCAGGGCTGGGCCACAGCCGTGGGGGCTGGACGGCCACCTTCACCAGGAGACTTGGGGAGGAAGGGGAAAAGGGCAGCAGGGCGGGAGGGGATGGAGGAGGCATGATGGGCAGAAGAGAGAAGGTGCCTTCTCAGGCACATGCACCCGGATACTCTGCCCCCCACGCCCAGGAGGAGGGGCTCAGCTCCACCAGGGAGGCCAGGGACGCCTCACACTGATTTCTCTGCCTAAGCCCCCATCCAGCAGGATTGGGTGCCCGGATCTGGCTTTTCCTCCAAGCCAGTCCATAAGGAACTGAGGCAGGAGGAGTCCCCATGTGGGATCAGCCCCTCAGGGTGCCTCCAGCGGAACCAGCAGGTATAGGTCCTCCCTGCCTGCCCGGACGCTAGCACACACTCTGGGCCCATCACATGGCGTGTTGCTGGGTCTGGGAGCTGGGATCCAGAGTTTGGCTGCAGCCCTAGTCCCTGGGTCTCCGGGCACTGACCCAGGCTTGCTCTTTCCTCTCTTACGCAGCTCAGAGGAGGCGCCGTACTCAGTGGGCACCAGGCCCTTGTCAGGCAGCAGCTTCCCTGGCGGGTTGGGGGGGACGCGGATGCGCAGGCGGAAGATGCACTTCTTCTTCTTGATCTCCTTGCCGCAGAGGAACCTAGAGGTGGGTAGGGGAGGAGAAAGCTCTGGAGTCTGTCGGGTCCATCCTCCTGGGGAGCAGAGTCAAGCGTTAAAACTACTCTCTTCACTTCCCTGGACCCAGAGCTAAAATACAGAGTGGCCTGAGGAGACGCCGATTCCTCAAGGCCTGTGGGACCAGGGGACCCAGGCGGAGGCTGAGGATGTGGCTGGTGGTTCCTGTTCTTCCACTGCCTGTGGTGGCTCTTGCTCCTCCTCTCCCTTTTCTTCTCTGCCTCAACCAGCCCCAAAGCCACCTCCCTTAGGAAGGCCTCCTGTAGCCCCGAGTGGAGCCCCATTCTGCTCTCTGCTCTCCACAAGGAGACTGAAAGCACCTCCAGGCACTGCCCTCATCTTTCCTACACCGTCTGGGCTGCTCTGAGGCTGCAGAGGGGGCTCAGTCGCAGCCCTACCCTCAGGACACTGTCCCCGGAAGGACAGGAGCCTCATGGACACAGAGTAGGGCTGTGTCTGGGCCCCAAACCATGCGAAGGTGGGAGAGTGGATAGGTCTGACAGCGGCGGATGGAAGCAGGGACCAGGGCTTATCCTGTGTCCTCACGCCTACACAGGGCTGACACAGAGCAGCAGCTCAATAAAATCGTTGTTGTTGGAACAAATGAATGAAAGAGAAGAACGGGAGCGAAAGCAAAGGTTTCAGAATGGCTGACATCCAGAATAAATAAGGCAACGGGCCAGAGGCAGAAGGCACGGCAGGGTCACATAGGGGCCGTGAATGCTGTGCTAAGGAGCCTGGCCATTCCCTGTGGTGGTAGTGAGGGGCGTGGCAGCTGTGGGTTCTGAGAACTTGAAAGTCTGGCTGGGAAGCTACTGACTCACCTGAGAGATGCTGAGTCAGTCCCTCCGAGCCTGGCCCAGAACTAGAGGGCGAAGGCAAGAGGGGCCCTCAGATCAGGGCTGCAGCCCCCAGACAAGAATGTGTCGTGCTGCTGGAGGGGTCAGGGGGAGCGTCACAGAGGAGCTGGGTGTCTCCCGGGGTCTTGAAGGACAGGTAGGATTTGTACAGTCAAAGAGAAGGGGCAGGAGTCCCAGGCAGGGAGCAAGCTTGAGCAAAGGCTACGTAAGGTAGGAAAGACCTTTAGACTGAAATCCCACCTGGAGGGTGCCCCACGACACTCCCTTCCCTGCACGCACCGGCTTTTGTAACTGTTCAGCGCATTGAGGAGATGCGGTCCTCGGTCCGTCACGGGGGTGCTGGTGAGCTAAGGGGGAGCAGGCCAGCAGGACAGTCAGACTCTGGCATATGACATCTGGGGAGGCCTCCACCGACACCTCCCCTCCACCCCGCCCGCCCCCCCCACCCCAGTCTCCTGAGTCCTCCAGGTGAGAACCAGTGACTTATTGCATGACCCCAGACAAGCCTTTCACCTGAGCTCAGTTCCCATCTGTAACTGGGGAGAGTGACTCCTGTCCTAAACATATCAAGAGCTTTAAAGGTGTCCATGCCCTTGACCCATGAAGCCACTCCATGACTCTATCATACGGACATACTATGAAACACAGACAAAGCTTTCCGTACAATGTGTTTGCAGCAGCATGTTCCCAACGCTGGGCCAATGGGGAGGAAACAGGAAAACCACGATGGGAATCAATGCCGCCTTTAAAATGTTTCTGAAGCTCTTTCATGATATGAAAAGGTATTTATAATATAATGAAAACTGGAAAAGGGTGTTTAAAATACTGTGTAACCTAAACCACGTAATAAAAAGAAAAAGTACACAGAGAAGAGAGGATGGAAGGAAATGTGTTAACAGCAGTTGTTTCTGGGTTGTGTGATGTGGGAAGCTGGGTGGCTTTTTAAATTATTTTATTGGTTTTTTTTCAGAGAGGAAGGGAGAGGGAACAGAGCCAGGAACATCAATGAGAGAGAAACATCGATCAGCTGCCTCCTGCACACCTCCCACTGGGGATGTGCCCGAAACCAAGGTACATGCCCTTGACCGGAATCGAACCTGGGACCCTTCAGTCCGCAGGCTGATGCTCTAGCCACTGCTCAGGACTTGGGTGGCTTTTTTAACAAGCATACTCCTTATGCTTTTTGTTGTTGTTGTTGTTCTTTTTTTTTGTTCTTTTTTTTTCTATTTTAAATTAAATCTTTATTGTTCAGATTATTACATTTGTTCCTCTTTTTTCCCCCTCATAACTCCCCTCCTCCCAGTTCCCGCCCCATCCTCCGCCCTCACTCCCCACCCACTGTCCTCATCCATAGATGCACGATTTTTGTCCAGTATCTTCCA